TGGGAGGTGGAGGTTGCAGTGAGCTGTGGTTGTGCCACTGCATTCCAGCCTGGGTGACAGAGCTAGACACTGTCTCAAAAACAAAAACAAAAAGTAATTGTGGAAGTGAAATGTGATAAGAATATACCTTCCGATAAGTCTATTTGGAAGGGCAGGAGAGACATAGAGATGAAGGAAGATTTTTGGTTTTGGTCTTTAGAGCTGGAAGGGATTTGCCCATGGAGAGGGGAAGGTTAGAGAATCGGAAAGGGCGATAGTTACATTAGCAAGATCCCAGAGGAACCAGAAGGCAGGAGATCGGGGTAGAATGGTGGGACTAACCCTGCGTAGGGAGAGAATGTATCTTCCCACCCAGTGGCCTATGAACCCCAGGGCCTTGTCTTCTGTCTTGACCTCTCTCAAAAGAAACCAAACTGTTAGCCTCTTTCCTAATATTTCTGATGAGCCAACCACAGGATCCTGGTAGGCAGGGTATTGACTTAGGTAGAGTTCTGAATTTGGAGTTGGAAGAAAGCTTTGATTTCTTGTGTTTTTGGTTGACTTCCTGACTGTGTTATCCTTTCTAAGCAGCAATGTCCTCATCTTTAAAATGAAAAAAAATGCACTCCATATAATAAAGTAGGAGAATATATGAAAACACTTTAAAAAGGGACTTGCGATTAGGTAGCTTTTTTGAGGTGTTTTTTGTTTGTGTGTCCCTCTGCTCTTAGGATCCGGTAATATTCCAGTGACCAGGAGACCTGGCAGTTGCCAAGAATGTTCTCTGAAACTGCTGGCTTCTAATGAGGCAGCTCACACAGGATTTGCTATCTTGAATTTAAAAATAACAGAAACAGAAACAAGTGCATCCACAGAGAGATGGACTATCACCAGAGGCTTGGTATTGTGATTAACAGTAGAATGTAAGCCAACGGAAGCCAGCTGGCAATCACTGAAACTTGACCATTTGGTTCGGTAGGTTACAATGAGTTTGTTATTAAGAATTGTTTATAATAATCAAATTTTCCACTAGGTGACAGCAAAGCCCATATGATCTAAATCGTCGTTCCTCTTGAATAGTGTTTGAGAATCTTCCAAAAGCAGCGGATCCTGCCGTTCTGCAGAGAGTAATTATTACTAAAATCATGACATATGGCCTTGAGATATTGTCATTACTCTTCTGAGATAAATAACTCCAGTTTTTAAAAAAGCAATTTTAGTTTTTGACATTCTAAGTCACTTGAATTTATAGAAACAACTACAACAATAATTTAAAAAGCTGACATGTGTTAAGCATTTGCTGTGTGCCGGGCACTCTTATAAATGTGCATGGCTCTTGATACTACCCAACTTCTCAGAGGTTTCACAGGGATCACAAGTCCCCTCTTGTAATAAAGAACTAAATCTTTCCTGGGCCACTTCTGTAACCATAACACTAACTACATAAATACACGCTTGTGGCTGAACTACCCTGCCCAGGAGAGGAGGAGTTTGGTTATGAATATTAATAGTTTAGTCAAGAGCCCTTTACAGGGTTTTATGAACAATTTTCAGTTATAGTTGGTATTTCTCAGAGCATTTATCTTTTTTAAAAATAACTTTTCCCCTCTTAGACCTATGCTAACCCTTTATTGGGTTCCCTGTTGGTGGCTCCTTCTTCTTGAGACTGTGTTGAGTTTGGGGTAACCTATTGAAGTCTTTTTTTTTTTAGGGGCTAAAGCTGAGACCCCAGGCAGAGTGAGCTTGACTCATCATGGTACGAAGCCTTTAACCATCAGAAAGAAGTGGGAATTATGGGCCATGGCTGGTATTTGACTCTGTCCCCTGGCCCTTGGCCCCTGAATGCTTGCCTTGGTTCTAAGCAGAGAAAGGACTGAGAAGTAAAATGGCAGGGCTGTTTCTGGAACACACTAATCCACAGGCAGCCCTGCTTAGTTTGTTTTCTTCAATCAGAATATAACATAAAAACCAGGGAGCTACATAGCTGGCTCCTATACAGCTACCCATACTGCTTTTCTTCCCTTTTTAATTATTACTATGTCTGAAAGAATGCTATAAATGCATGAGATGAAATTTCCAAAGGTGCAACAGAGCATACAGTTAAAAAGTAAGTTTTACTTCCCACACCTGTTGCCCATAGGAAACCACTGGTTCTCACAGTTACCAGTTTCCAATAACGTTCAGCCTTAGCAGCCTGGGGATTCCGTGCTTGGCAGGACAGCGGTAACGATGCTGGATGCTGATGGGGGGGGAGGAGTTAGGAGTAGCTCAGATTGCGGAGTGAGTTAAGCACATGTGACACCTCCTGATGAGGCTCAGGGACTAGGGGCACATGGTGTGTGGGAAAATGAGCCAGGAAACTTTGGGAATTCATAACAAGATGGCCTTATTGGCACCCACACGCTGGTGTGGCCTGGGGAAGTTGTGTACTATTATTATAGAAATATGTTCTCAGATGAAAGTTAAAAAATATAGATAAGTATATCTCACTGTTTAAGTATATATATTAAATATATATGTGTGTATATATACACATATATCTATGTTACAGTTTTTCCTGCAATATGGAGCCCAAGCCCCAGTCTCCAAGTCTCATAGCAACTCAAGCATCAGCAAACAATGCCTCCAGAAGATAGAAACTGACACTCCTAAGGTCACCAGCAATCTTATCCCACAATGTCAGCTGAGCCACGAGAGGGAGCACCACTGCAGAGTGGCAGCTAGCCTAGGCAAGCCACGACCCAGTTCCTGACATTGGCCCCAGGTGCATTCACAAGTGTGAGCACGTGTGCTGGGTGACCCAGGACCGTCTCAGTTTATACCTGGGATAATTGTTAAAAGGGTCCTTTTCCAATCTCAAGAACTGTCCCAAGTTTGTCAATGAAGTAAGTGATCTCTCTGAATACAGTTCCCCTGTGCATCATCTCCCACCGTGCCACTCCTTCAGGGTGCTGGACCAATTATGGACGTGTGAGTTACGGGGGATCAGGTGTCAACCATCTTTCAGACCCAAAGCTGCAACCATTTTTTTCCCCTAGGGCCTCTTCCGGGTCTAGCAGTCTCCTGTTTCTGGGACACAAAAGGGCCAATTCTACCTCCAGTTCAGGCAACAGAACTCCCCAGCCACCCTTCAGAGGACTGGATATCCTAAATGCTTATGCCTCTTTTTCCCAATGAGCCCGATGCTCAGTAGCTCAAATGTAATTTACCACTGAGATATGTAATAAATATCTCAGGACATTTATTTTGGCCCCTCTCTAATCCCTAGCATGTCATTTTCATGAGAAAAAAAGGAAAATAAAATTCTCCTATAATACTCAACTAGAAATTTCCAGAGGTTAATAATTTTGGAAGCACATTCTTGTGGATATGTATGTAAAGTCTTTTATTGGTTCTAGCTGTTTTTCATCGGATTTTTTTTAGTTTTTCTGGGTAGGCAATAATGATTTGCAAGTAATAATTATACTGACACCTAATATTTATTTATTTAACATTTTGAAAATTTTTATTTTAGAGCCTAAAACTTCTAGGATGTAATTGAGTAACGATGATAGCAAGCATGTCTTCTTGCCGACTTTAATAGAATGCTTCTAGTATTTCACCCTTAAAATGATGTGATTTAAGGTTGGACTTTGTGTGAAGGGAGTATCCTCCTAAGCTTACCAAAATAATTACCTTGGTTGTAACTTATAGAATAAATTGTCTGTATCTTGACAATTTCATCTTGACAAAGATCAAGATATTTGCTTTTGTCCAGATAAATGGCAATGGAACTATACCTTTGCTTTACTCAGATATCCAACTGTTGCAGCTCTTTCTCTTTTTACCTACAATAAAATATTAAATCCATAAATCATTAGATGCCTGGGTTTAAGTCTAGTTGTGGGAGTTCGCTAACTATTCTGAATTTCACTTTCTTTATCTGAAAATTAGAATTAAAAATACTGACTTCACAGAGTTGCTGCATTAACTTATTGCCTAGAATGTAGCAAGCATTCAATAAATTTATTATTATAGCTGTTATATAATATATATTTCACTCTCTGATCCTATTGGAGATATAGATATTAAATATAATATATATTAAATATATCACATATAATAATAAGAGAATAAAAATCTCCTTAGAAAAGACTTTTCAGTTAATGACAGTGGTGATTCTAGGATTATCTTAAGTTCACTGTGGTCTTTTCTTTAGAGGTGGTAGGATGCCCAACTGCTCCAGTTTATTCTGGATAGGGGAGCGTCCGAGGTTGAAGGACTTTCGGTGCTAAAACCAGAGAAGTCCTGGGTAAATTGGGACAAGTTGGTCACCTAGATCATGGTAATATTTGACTCCTTTCCTGTTTTCATCTGATCAGGCAGGCTCCTCCAGAAGACAAAAATAGCATTCAAAGAAAATTATTAAAGGCCTGATGATGAACAGACATCACCATCATCATTTTAGTAATAATAATAATACTGTAATAGTAAGCCACATTTAGAAGGAAACTAAATATCTCTTTCTAAGGAAATTTCTAGCAAACCAAGACAAACACTACTGGGATGATTTTCACAGAAGATGTACTCTTTGGATGGTGAGAGAGCACTAAGAAAGTAGCTATTCTAATGGGGCAGGAGGTAGAAAAGAGAAACTGGGGTACTTGGCATAGTTCAGATACTACAAATCTGGTGCTCCTGATCTACAGAAGGAAGTGTGGATATAGACCCACATTGAGCGTGAGAGTAACAGGAAGAGGTGCAAGAGTGAGGTGAATGATTCCCCTCTAGAAAGTTTGGGGCAAGCCTGGAGGGGATACTGGTTTTGTGGGCTGTTGCCAGGATAGTTGCTACCCACCTGTGCTCTGGCCTGAACATGGCTGAGTCATCACCCAGAATGCTGTGATGGTAGGAGTAATTATAGCCCAGGAGGACATGGAAGCATCAAGTAATTACAGTCAAGGAGGACACGCCCCGGGCTATGGTGCTGCTGTGCACAGAGGACAAGGCAAGGTTCGGGCAGGTGTGGGAAAAAGGTATACATGCTTCAAAGTATTATTAAAAATGTGTGGATCCCCATGAAGCTCTACTATACCAAGTTTACCAGGATATTTGGGTCGGAATGGGGCTGATGAACCTCACCGTTCATAAAATCCAGACTGCTAATAAAAGAAGTAAAGCTTTGAAAGCTCTGGCGCCTGCTCATGGTCATCACTAATCAGCTTTACCTGGCATACACATGAAATGAAACATCAGTCAGCCTGTAAATTTAAGCAAGCTGTGTTAGACTGTACACGTGTCTAAGTATCGCTTACTTCGTGGCATGAATAAATGGATCTGTGAAATGCACTGAAAAAAGAAAGATCAAGATCAGGGGTACAGTGGGAAACAGAGGTCATTGCTGGATAAACTCAAAAGATTTCGTACGCAGGCCAGAGACAGGGCTGAGACACTGGGAGTTTATTCTTACTAGATGCTGGACAGTTATTGTGGCTTCAATGAGATAATGCACATAGATGCAGAGTTCTTACATGGCACATAGTTAAAGCTTACTATCACCTGTTTTTAGTTTTTGCACCTCTGAAAGCTAATCAACTAATTTCCCCTAGTATAGAAGCAGATGAACAAAAGTCAAAAATTGAATTTCTTTACCGGGAATAAAAGTTGTACAAGTTGTGTTTGTTCTACCAACAATTTCCTTTGATCCAAATGGCCAGTATAGAAAGATCAATGTTCTTCTACAGTGGCTAGAACACAAACAATGATGTCAAGGGCACATATACCAGGAAGAGACCACTAACGACCTCTCACAGGCCTCCCAAGGTAGCATCATGACCTGAAATTACCCATGCAGGCCAAGAACTGTAATTTTATTCAGTCATAGAAAGAAACACTTATCTCAGGTGTTAGTTCTGCACAATAATCAAGCTTACAAGACCGAATACAAATCAGTGTATCTTTTATTTGTAGTTTTAAATTTTTATTACTTTTATTTTTCAATAATTTAATACAATCAATCAATAAAAGAGGGCCATGTATGGGCCAGTGGTGACAGTGTGTTACTAAACACAGATATTGGATAGGCAATTAGCAGTGTCTGCTCCAACCATGGCATCAGTTTATTAATTTTCAATAATAAATTACTGTAAGAATTCTGGAGTCCTTATGATCAGTGCCAAGTGCCATGAAAAGTCCAATCAAAATCAGAAACCATTTAATTTATTCCTTCAGAAGAAGTTACTGCATAGGTCTATTTGACAAACATAATCTTCCTTAAGATATTAGCTTAACCATAATCAAGAAGAAGGTTGTCCTGAATGCAGAATACAAGCTAAGAAAGTTGACTGTTTAATGGCTTCAGGGAAGAAAGTTTCTGGCCCACAGAACTGGAAATACCAGCCAGGTCACAGCCTCTCTAGGACAGTGCTACGATGGAAATTACTAACATTTGCTTTGGTAACTTTTCCTGCTTTTTCTATCCCCAAGTCACAAAATCACTTTTTAATGTATGCATTCTTTGCTTAGTCAAGTTAATATATCTACCTCGGTTATAGAAAACTTTCGCAAGCCCACAGGCCAGTTTTTCCTCTCTAAAGAGTTTTTGTGAATCTCTGCTTCGATTTGTAGCCTGTTGATTTCACTTTTTCTCCTTGTGCAAGCATCTCAAGTTATTCTGGCCACTTTACTGACACAGCTATGTACAGAGAGCAACTATCCAATCTCCCTGCTTTTTGACATTCGTCTTATCTTCTTTATAATATATAGGTAACTCCATGAAGTTTCTCAGGATCCCTTCTATTCGGTATGTTGTTGACTGAAATCTTTGGTCATCACCTTTCTTATATGTTAATTTATTATTCCACTGGATCCAGCTTCAGTCTACAAATGTAGTTAAGTCTCCACTGCCCCCAAAACCCTACCCTCAAGTCTGCAACTCTCAGGCTACTTTCCTTTCATGGTCGAGGGACTGGAAACAGCATTGTCATGCATCATTGCCCTCTTCCATGTATCAACACCTTGCAAACTGGCTCCTACAAGTTCCATACTCCAGTGGAACTTGCTTCTTGGAGTAGTACTAACTTTCAGTGATCTCTTCTCCCTGGGGTCTAGTGCTAGACCCCAAAAAGGGGTGAATGCCTGGCTTTGCTGACATTGCTCCCTGGCCATAGTTAAAAGAGAGACACACACTCAAGCTAGGTTACTTCTCTCTCCTGAGATTTGGAGCATGAACTGGAGAGGTGCAGAATTTTCTGGAGCAGAGCTGTGTTAGTGGCTGCACCACGCTGGGAGAGGGGTCATAGATTCCTAGGAGGCCCCCAGAGCTGCCCTGGTTCCTATCCTTCCCGAACCTTGGTTGTCCATCTCCTCCGCTAACTCTCTGTGAGTTCTCCCAGAATCCTCCTTTAGGTACTGGCCTTAAATTCCCTTTTTTCTTTCTGTCTAAGCTAGTGACAGTCAGCTTCTATCCTTTACAACCTAATTAACTGGTTAATTCTTAACCAGTTAATTCTCTTACCCTTTTTAACAATTCAGAAGCATTGAACACTGAAGAATCTCCTTCCCTGCTGAAATTGCTTTTCTGTGTCTTTGCTGCCTTTGCATTCTTGTGGCTCCTTGTCCTGCAGCATTTTCTCAGGCCCCACTGTCACTCCTCTTCTTTCCCTTACCCTTGAATGAAAGGCTTCCTAAAATGTTTTTAAAATTTTTTTGTTTTGCTTTGAGACACTCTCACTCTGCCACCCAGGCTGGAGTGCAGTGGCATGATCTTGGCTCACCGCAGGCTCCACCTCCTGGTTTCAAGTGGTTCTCCTGTCTCAGCCTTCTGAGTAGCTGGGATTACAGGTGCATGCCACCACGCCCAGCTAATTTTTATATTTTTTAGTAGAGACAGGCTTTCACCATGTTGGTCAGGCTGGCATTGAACTCCTGATCTCAGGTGATCCACCCGTCTCGGCCTCCCAAAGTGCTAGAATCACAGGCATGAGCCATCGTCTGGCCCTTCCTAAAATATTATTTATGAGAATCCTTTTTACATTCTCACTTATTCAAATAAACAAAACAAAATTTGAATGAGCCAGATACTCCACCTCATTTTAGAATATTTGGAAGAGATAGTCTAGAGAACATGACCATATATATGGTCATATTCTATTGGCACAGTCAAGCAACACAGGATATCCAAGTTCTAGATAAACATTTCTGATTATCTACATGTATATTTGTGATTCAACTCACCTAAAATCACCTATTACCATCTCAAATTTAGTATGCTTAAAACTATACTCATTATTTTTGCCCTCAAATATGATCCTTTTTCTATCTTTCCAATCTCAATCCAGAACAGTACCATCCTCCCACCATAAGCTTAAATATCAGAGTCATCTCTTATTCCCTCTTCTCATCTGGTCAATGCACAGGCCCTGTTGATTCTGACCCTGATACACATTCATCTCAGCAGAACATGCCCACAGGCACCCCCCATCAAGTCCCCTTACATTTCACTTCCTGTTGCAGGGGTTTACTAACTCAGTGCCCAGCTATCTGGCTGTGCCCTACCCAGTCATCCTCCACATGGCTGCTTAAGTCTTTTAAAACTCAGATTTAATCGTGACAGTTCCCAGAAGAGAAGCCTTTCAGTGGTTCTCCAAGGGATGTTCATGAAAATTGCTGAGGAGTTCTGAAAAAGTGAACATTCTTGGGCTGCAAATAAGAATTCCTCAGTCAGTTTCCAGAAATAAGGCATGAGTATTTTGAGAACCTCATCCCCCCACCCCCACCCAGGGATTTTGATATAGACCTACGGTTAAGTGTCATTGCTTTAATGGAACCTCAGTGCCTACTGAACAGATCTCAAATTTCTCACTGTGATATTTAGGGCACCAACTTCTGCTTCAAGCCTTGTCTCCTTTAATTCCTTACACATTCCAAAGTCTGACAAATAGCGATGACAGTAGTTACTATTTCCTGAATGCCTCCTGACATCATGCCTTTCATTAGTCTGCTCTTGCCACTTGGAAAATCCTTTCTTCTCCATTTCTATTTCTCTCAATTACACCCTCCTTCAAGGTCAAGTTTGACTAATTTAGAGTAAAATACATTTACAGTATTTAGAGTAGTTATGGGGTCATAATAAGCCCTCTATAATAGCAGTTAATGTTGTTATGATAATGATGATGATAAATAATACCTTATACCTCCATGAAGTCCTTACCACCCACTAAATCAGAACTAGTCTTTCCTTCCTTTGTGTTTCCATTGCACTTTGTTTCTAGTCCTTTTAGGGTATCTGCTAGATTCTGTTTTGCTTTTTGTACCCGTCTTACCTGTCCTGGTGAAGTGCAACCTTGTTAGTGAACTCTATCTTGGTCAGGTACTATATCATGTTCAAAACACAGCAGTTGCTCAATACATTTTCACACTTTTAAATTGAGTTCTAAATGATCTTCGTGAACTGTCACCCCAGCCAGAAACAGATGTTCAGCGGGATTCCCTGCCTGTTTGTCCTGCATGTTTTGTCTCTGAGCTGAGCAGGGGAGAAACCCAACTCGGAGCCCTTTAAATTAAACATGTACTTAAGTGGCAAAAGAATTTTTAATTAGAGCCTGGGAAAAGGAAACATTAACATTTGTTGAGTGCATACTCTGCCAGGACACTGTAGTGTGTTTGCCTTGGAACAGCTGTGTAGCAGGAAGCTGCTTCTAACATATTCTGTATTCTTTCCTCCCATTGTTTGCTTAAGGTAACATTTATGTCTGATATTTGCTTAATGTGCCTCTCAAGTCGTTTCTGAGCATTGTAAAGAGGAAACGGTTCACTGGGTGGCAATGCCAGGCACTCAACACTGAGTAACTGATGTGTTAGTGGTGCTCTTTGAAAAGTATGATGTACTGTGAAGTGTCACACTACCTGGATAATTTGCTGTTACCATCAGCCAGGTGGCTGTTTAAATGGTTTTAGATCGAGGAGGAGTTTCCAATAGTTTTAGGCCTTCCCCAGATCCATACTCCTAGGAGAAGTGGGGATTTTTGGCCCATGGCATGATGTCCCCATGAACAGTAGCAGAAATGTAGATCTGTTTTATGAGATAAGGGACTAAAGTGGTTCTCTGAGCCCATGCTTCCACGTTGAATGGTAGTGAGGACTATAACATGGGTGACTATAACACTTATTGTTAAAACAGTGGATGCTCAGCACAACAGAATCCACTGGGACTATCCC